CTCTAGACTGTTCTCAGTGGTACCAGATGACAGAACAAGGAGTAATAGTCTCAAGTTGCAGTGCGGGAGATTTAGGTTGGATATTAGGAAAAACTTTTTCACTAGGAGGGTGGTGAAGCACTGGAATGCGTTACCTAGGGGAGGGGGTGGAATCTCCTTCCTTAGAGGTTTTTAAGGTCAGGCTTGACAAAGCCCTGGCTGGGATGATTTAGTTGTGAATTGGTCCTGCTTTGAGCAGGGGGTTGGACTAGATACCTCCTGAGGTCCCTTCCAACCCTGAGATTCTAGGATTAGGAGTGACTTGCCTACTGCCTCTCCCCCTGCTGCCAGCCATACATGAGGCCTGCAATGGGTGGATCCAAATGGCACCCACCCAGGCCACAGGATGTTCTCAGGTTGACCTCAGCACCACCTGGAACTACACAGCACATCTCCCTGCTGTAATGCTGGGAAAGCAATTGTGACGGGGTGGGTCACATAGACACCCCCCCCCCTTGGGACTGCCACCTGATGTGCTGAGACTACCTCTGAGCCCGTTTTCCCTGCCACCTTAGGACTTCAGTGCCCTGTCTTGTTGAGCCAGACCCAGGTCTGAACCACGTCCCCCAAAAGCTGCAGACTTAACAGAAAACAGCTTAGAAAGTGCTCCTGTCTCTAGCATCTAGATACCCAGTTCCCAATGGGTTCAAACCCCAAATAAACCCGTTCTATTCTATATAAAGCTTATACAGGGTAAATTCATAAATTGTCTGCCCTCTATAACATGGATAGACAGATATGCACAGGTATTAGTCACTAACTCTGAGTTCTGTAATAAGCAAAAAGTGATTTTATTAAATATAAAAGGTAGGATTTAAGTGGTTCCAGGTAATAACAGACAGAACAAAGTAAGTTACCAAGCAAAATAAAACAACACATGCAAGTCTAAGCCTAATACAGTAGAAAACTAAATGCAGGTAAATCTCACCCTCAGAGATGTTCCAGTAAGCTTCTTTCACAGACTAGACTCCTTTCTAGTCTGGGCCCAATACTTTCCCCTGATACAGTCCTTGTTCCAGCTCAAGCGGTAACTAGGGGATTTCTCACGACTGCAGCCCCCTTTGTTCTGTTCCGCCCCCTTTTATAGCTTTGGCACAAGGCGGGAATCTTTTGTCTCTCTGGGTCCCCATCCCTCCTTCTAAATGGAAAAACACCAGGTTTAAGATGGATTCCAGTACCAGGTGACATGGTCACATGTCCTGTGAGACCTCAAGCCTTCACTCTTCTTGGCCTGACTCACAGGAAGGCTTGCAAGTAAACAGAGCCATCTACAGTCAATTGTCCTGGTTAATGGGAGCCATCAAGATTCCAAAACCACCATTAATGGCCCACACTTCGCATAATTACAATATGCCCTCAGAGTTATATTTCATATTTCTAGTTTCAGGTACAAGAGTGGTACATTTATACAAATAGGATGAATACACTCAGTAAATTATAAGCTTTGTAATGATACCTTACAAGAGACCTTTTGCATGAAGCATATTCCAGTTACATTATATTCACACTCATTGGCATATTTTCATAAAATCATATGGCGTGCAAGGTCACAGCAATGTCTCCCTCTCTCATTAGATTTCACTATATTGCCAAAGGGAATGTCCCTCCCTCTGATCCCAAGCACCTAGATCAGAGGCTGGGGAACCCTCCATTCACGAAGGCCTGAAAATTGGGTTTTACCACTAAAAGGGAAAAGAGAGATTAATAAACCCAATAGGAACAGAAACATTCATTCCTTTGTAAGGCCAGCAGCTATTCTGCACCAGTTTGTTAGAGGATTGCACAGTACTTCAAACAGTGACCAAGTAAGATGAATAAGAGTCCATAGCTCATTGATATTGGCCCAGTTCTGTGCATGGATAGCGAGACACCATGCGACTGACCTGTCCAATTGAAAATAGGCAGTCAAGTAAATCTCAGGTAGCGAATACAACCCAAGAATGGTAACACCCAACCCTTCTCAAAGGCACTAGACACCCCCATCAAAGCTATTCTTCCCATGGAAGTGTGATAATAGTACAAACTACGTCCAGTGTAAAGATCCTCCTGCTGCACAAAAGCATTTTCTCATGCATGAGGGCCAGAGGGTGAAAGTGGCACTCTAGCTTTCCTGCACGAGGGGAGTGGAATGCAATCAGCATAAGTGTACAAGTAAATTCAGGGTGAAGCCTGGCCCCCGGAAGTCCAGTGGAGTTCTGCCATTGGCTTCAATAGGGCTGGTTTTTAAGGTGCATTCAGTTTTAAACTGCCAGAATGTTATTAGTAACCCAGGACCCAAGCCACCATCTCCTTGCTCCAGTTTGACACCAGCCCCCAGGACTTTCACCAGGAATAATCCCTCACTAGACAATATTCCACATAAATACCTGGCTAAGCAAACCCATGTGCCAGGCTAGGTAGTGAGTCCCTCAGCCTCTCTCCCACCATATTGGAGATGGCATGAACCAATGGTTGGAAATTGAAGCTAGACCAATTCAGACTGGAAATAAGGAATAAATTTCTGACAGTGAAGGTAATTAACCACTGGAACAATCTACCAAGGGTCACGGGAGATTCTCTATCACTGGCAATTTTTAAATCAAGTCTGGCTATTTTTCTAAGAGCTCTGCTCTAGGAATTATTTGGGGGAAGGTCTTTGGCCTGTGTGCTACAGGAGCTCAGACTAGATGATCACAGTGGTTCTTCTGGTCTTGGAATTGACCATCCCAGCCCTGGCTCCGTCACAGACTTTCCTAGTAGCCCTTCTCAGAAGCCCCCATCACAGGAAAGCTGCTGCATCAGCACTAGCGCTTTTACTCCTGCCACACAGCAAACAGCAGGAAAGTGCTTCTAAAGCTATAGTCGACTACAACAGGCCTTACAGGAAGGTACCCAATGGCCAGGTTCTCCAGTGTCTCCAGAGCTGTCGATCCCTTTCACCTGCAGTGCCACATGATAGTGGGAGATGAATGTTGAGAGAGGAAGGTGTAACAGCACAGACGTTCGCAACCAATGTTTGAAGGGAGCTGTCTACAAATCTTCTGAAATCTCATGTGTGTGCCCAGTGTCACCTGGGGAGCCCTCCTCAGCCTCTAAGCTTCGTGACACTCACTACTGACATGTCAAACAGCAGGCCAAGCACTCCAACAATCACACATGCTCATGTGCCCACAGCAGATGTGATGGACAATAATAAGAGAGACATATCTGTGACGGGTTGGGTCACAGAAACTCCCTCAAGACTGTCACTAGCTGTGCTGGGATACCACTGAGAACAAACCCCCCTGCCAGAGAAGGCTTCCCTCCACTCCCCTCTTGCTGAGCTAGACACACCAGTTGGCTACAGCACAGACCAAGAGGTTGGGCCATGCCCCCTGCAGTTCACAGAAACAAAGATTCACTCAGCCCAGGAGCTTCTGAGTTAACAGAGACTTTCCCAGCACCCAGTATTCAGTCTTTCCAG